GAATTCATCTGGTTCGTCGAACTCGTTTGTTTCTCGACGGCGTCTCATCGAACGGGGCTCACCGTTTGAAAATATACTTCTTCTTCGCCTGACGCTTTCGTCTTCGTCTTTCGAACGAAAGATAACCGAATGAAATTCTTGAGGTTCATCAAAATACATTTCTGCCGGCCGTACGGTGTATTCTTCGTCGTTGGTGAATATTGTCCCCTCGAATCTGCCATTTCGTATCGAGCCGAAGGCTTCGGAATTCGGTTCGTCTTCAAGATAGCCTGCTAACGCCGAGTTTAAATGTTCTTTTATCTCATCGTTTAGTCGATCTAAACCAGGATGAAACGAATCTCTGTCCGGTTCTAAACGCAGTTTGAATTCCCTTCCGTGAGATTTGAAATCTAACGACTTCGTTTCGAGTCCATTTTTGAACGTATCTTTTATATCGCTTTCGGCATAGTTCAGCGGCTCGTAATGACGAATATGCTTGTTTAAAGGCTTTCGTTCAACGCTTAAAGCCAAAAATACTTGGCTGTAAACGACTAAAAGCCAACAAAGCGTTTTCATCGTGTTGTTTTCGCCAGAATTCTCGAGATGAGGCTTTAAGAACCTAAAAACAACAACGTAAATTTATTGTTTTAATACAGCGATTGAGAAAGCGTCTTGAATTTGTGCGAATGGAATGTACGTAATTTGCAAATACACAAACGACACATAATTTGCAATTCAAATGAAGCTCGTATACTTACAAGGCGCTTCGCACTCAATTAAATAAAGTTTCTCACAATATAAAAGAACAAGCAATCAACAATTAGAACGCAAAAGAATCCGGAAAATGTAGCAATTTGCGTGGTGATTATCAACATTAGCTATTTCCGGGGGTAGGTCTTTACCAGCCGAGTATGGGGGAGGGGGACCAGTCTTTGATAAAATTTCGTAAATTTTGGAAAAAATTTAGTAATTACTGGTAATGGTAAATTCTGATAAAGGATTGTAAATTTTAATGATTTAATACCAAAATAAAATAAGAAATTAGTGTGTATTCTATTCAGGTTATAACAACCCTAGGCTAAGCCAATCTCGTTCCCAGAGTATGCCTGTTCGCGGGTTAGGTAGTGGCACTACCTAACCCGCAAACAGGCATTCTCTGGGAACGAGATTTGAGGCTAAGCTAGTTCCTTGTCGAAACCATGACGTGATGACGATACCAGTGTTTTTATGATCGCTGGCAAATCGCATGCAAGTTCTCAAATTATTTTGTCAAATTTTCTTTATTGACCCATACAAACGAGCAAAATTTGCACCTTACCTATTTTTTTCTAACACAAGTGCACTGTTTCAAAAGCTATACAGTAATATGTAGCAGCCTCGTACCCAGGCGCAAATAACGCAAATAACTAAAAATAGGCACACTACAGTGTTTTTATATAGATCAGTGGCTAAGCAGCGAGACCCCCGCGCGCTCGCTGTTTAGCCACTGATCTATATAAAAACACTGTAGTGTGCCTATTTTTAGTTATTTGCGCCTGGGTACGAGGCTGAATATCTACCCTGGTTCCAGAGGTTCTTGTGCCAATACGAGCGAGCTGAGAATAGGGCGGAAGATATGAGAACAGAGGGCAACCATGGTAATCTTCTATGGGTAATCACTGGTCTATGCCAGTGTAGGTCGTGTCAATAATAATAAAATTTGGGTTGATAGAAATGCAACTACCTGAATTTACAAGGAGAATTTCAAGGAAACGTCGAAATTCTCCTTGCATTTTTTCAGGTAGTTACAGACCTATCAACCTAGCCTGCGTGGCAGGCTCATTGCCACGCCAATCCAGTGAACTGTAAATAACGGTTATTTACAGTCAGCTCAGTGTTTACAGTTCACTGCGCCAATCTCGTTCCCAGAGTATGCCTGTTCGCGGGTTATATACGCAACCCGCGAACAGGCATACTCTGGAAACGAGATTGTTGCCACGCAGGTAACCTGAAGTTCAGGCCCTAATCACAGAATAGGGCCTGAATTTCAGGTTACCACGCAGGCAACCCAAATTTTGTTAATCACTGGTGTAGCCGCTCCCCCTCTCATCATTAATGACCGTTTATGGCCAGTTCCCTACCCAAACAGGCGAGTGCTGTGCAGTTCTAGAAATTCTAATATACGAACTTCTTAATTCGCAATTGAATTAAAATGACATTATTGAGACTACGATAGATTAGATAACGTTCAGATATAAAGACCGGAGGAATTCGTAACCGAATCCGAATGCAAAGTTGCTTGGGCCATTTGTTCACAGGTATGGTTCACTCAAGAATTGCAACGCTCATCAACTCTCATCCTAATCTCGTTCGAAGGTAAGATGGTGGGCAATGGGCATACCCACAACCTAACCTGCGAACGGGCATGCTCTAGGGCTGAATTAGACGAAATCGTGCACATTTGACCAGGGCTCCGAATTTATCCGATCCTCTCAAGGCGGATTTCCATTCAGTGCAAAATGTCGCGCGATCACTTTCTTTTGAAATACAAGCAATCAAACGCAACGGATGAGGTTGACTGAACACATTTCAAAAGAAAGTGATCGCAAAAAGTTGATCTCGCGACATTTTGCACTGAGTGAAAATCGACCATAGATATCTTGTATACACTAGATAGTGCATCTGATTATTCTGCAATTCAAAAATTGAAGCCGTGATTGCAGACTCAGGATATTCCCATGAAATGAGAAGACTCGTATGTTTTCTATTTCTTAAACAGGGAACTTAAACATTAAGTTAAACCTATTGCAAATACATTTTCAAACTATTCAAATGATGAAAGTTATTGTTTTTAAGCGTTTATTAGCGAGTGGGAAACTCCAACATGGCCGCCATCTATTCAAATGGGGTAACCGCTGGAATATTCTTGGCTTCAATTTTACTAAAAGAGAAGCGCTATCTAGTGTATAGAAGATATCTATGAAATCGACCTTTAGGGGCAAGCCAGCAGAACACTTTCCTGACTTGCCACAAGTATAATATAATATAATATTGTGTAACATTTCAATGCCCAGGACTTGCCATAAATGGAATATGACATCCCGGGAGCCTTGAATGGCAGACCCCCCGGACTTGTCACAAGTGTAATATGTTATCCCGGGAGTCTTGAATCCCGCCCCCCTGATTTGTTACAAGTCTAATATGGTCTCCTGGCAACGCCGGCATGGCTTGAATTGATGCTTGCGGACGGCGGGTGAGAACCAGCCCGCATGAACACCCTCGCCCGATACGTTTAATTGATTAAATATTTGCAAAATCTGTTGTGTGGTGCCGTCTTTGGCCGCTAATTCCTCCAGATCTTCCAAGTCGACCGCTTCCAGCCCTAGGGACATGGCACTAGACTCGGACGCAGTTTCCTGCTCGTCCAGAGTATCAGTTTTCTGCCTTTCAAAGCCTTCATTGTCATAATCTGGCGTTTTTGAAGATATTTCTCTCAAGTGGTTTCGATGTATTAACGTCTCTCTGGCGCTGTTTTTCTCATGCTCGCGGTGCATTCGGCCTTGAATTTGTTGCATGACCAGCGACTGAAGTTGTCCTATCTTGGCCTGTTCAAAAACAAGAGTTAATTAATAGGTTTGGGTAAGAGTTCCCGGTCTCCTTTGTTTATAAGCAACTAAATACAAGACTAGGAGATATAATGAAAATAATTCTTATTTTTCGCCCTCAAAACGTTTCACGGCAATGACATAAAAATCCTATACTGGTATCAAATCATTCCACACATCATACATATAATATCACACCATGCTAAAATTCTATACCATACGATAAGACATACCATACCACACCACACCATGCTACCATCAAAATTGAGAATCGTATATAATCTTACCATACCCTAATATACTAAACCATTATGCACCAATCATACAATAACATACCATACCACAATATCATACCAAACCATACAATAGCATACCATAGATTGGTGCATAGCATAGCATAGCATAGCATAGCATAGCATAGCATAGCATAGCATAGCATACCTTTCACACCACACTATACCCTACGATACGATACTACACCGTACCATACAATACTATACCATAGCACACCACACACCATACCATATCATATCAGACCAGACCATTTAACATTTTCAATTCAGAACGATGTAAAATACATACCTGCATCTGCGCGCGTTCATTAGATAAATTAGTGATCAATTTTTCTCTTTCATGATAATATTTTTTCAAAGCAGTTCTCTGAATTTGATACAATGAAATATATTCTCCTGAAAAATATATGAAATATTTTATCAGTCCTGCAACTGAAATTTTAGAAAAGATTTTGATGTCATTTTTATACCTATCGTTTCCGTCTCAGCTGACAACTGTTGACAAATATGTTCAAGTTCCTGTACTTTCTCTAAAAGATCCGCCTTTTCATCCATGATTCGCAAAAACCTCGTCTGTAGAAGCAAAAACAGGAAACATTGAAACTAAAATAAACTTAAACCTTGGGTAAATGTTTCTGATAAATGTTTCCTTTGTTCACATTTGGGAAACATGACTAGGAGACAATCTTTCTTGCTTTGCCCATCTTTGTTTTTCTCGGTTGGGAAATATCGCAAAGAAATCGTGTTTCCTGGTTTGCCCACCTTTCGGAAACATGACTAGGTCAATGTTTGCCGGCTTGTTCACCTTTGGGCAACATAGCTAGGAAACAATGTTTCCTGGTTTGCCCAGTTTTAGGAAACATGGCTGGGAAACAATGTTTTCTGGTTTGGCCACCTTTAGGAAACATGGCTAGGAAACAATGTCTCCTGGTTTGTTCACGTTTGGGAAACATGGCTGGGAAACAATGTTTCCTGGTTTGGCCACCTTCAGGAAACATGGCTAGGAAACAATGTTACCTGGTTTGTCCACCTTCAGGAAACATGGCTAGGAAACAATGTTTCCTGGTTTGCCCACCTTTAGGAAACATGGCTAAGGAAACTGGTCCTTACCTGTAATTTAGCAAACGCTGGTTTTAGTTCTTCATACGGTATAGCAGAATTTTCTAAATTAATTTCATCGACAGCAACATCCTGGTTTTCAATTTGTAATTTCTGTTTCTGAACGAGTTGTTGTAAAGCATTGATTTGTTGTTGCTGTTCGCGTAGCTGTTCATGTACTTGTTCCAGCAAGTCTCGCTGTCGCTGTTGCACCTGTTGATGTATTTGCATCTCCATATGTTGTTGCAAGAGGCTGATTTCTGATTGGGATTTGTTTGCGATCTCTGCAAGCTCATGCCTGAGTTGATCTCGTTCCATTTCTAACTGTCTTATTGAGGCTGACATCGAGCTCACCTAAAGATATAGAGAAATTGATTAAGATCCTTTATCACCAGACAATTTTAAAGAAATATAAGAAAAACACATGCATACTACGAATACTAATGCCATCTTGTAAATTCAAAATACGAATTATTTAAAGAAAACAAAACACAAATTATGGATGATATTTTGACTAGGTTTCCTTGTTGCAAAAACGTAAGTAGGTAAGTTTTCTTTTTTTTGTATTTTTTTTATAGATAGTAATGCATGAGAATGATTCTTTTCGTCAATTCCGGAAACACTGGTAGTACAGCATCACTTAAAAACGTAATGAAATGTTAAAATACTGAATGTTTAAAATACTAAAACTTCTAAAAATTCTAAAAATCCCTTTCGATACTCGTTGTATAAATTGGCGTTTTACTAGTTTCGTCGTTAGACCTCTTCAGAATCCGCCATTTTGTTTCTATAGAAACAAACATTCATGTGGTACAAACATTCATTAAATTTCATATCAACTTTGAACGAAACTAATTAATGTCACCAACTGGGTACGAAAAGTTGCTTCTGAAAATCACTAGGGTCTCAAAATTATAATCTCCACCGGGACCCTGAACGTTTCTGGGACCTGGATGTAATCTATACCTCCACCGTCAATTAAGTCATGTATCATGCATAAATTATACAATGGGCTAATTATGCATTCAGTTTACTCTGATCGGCAAAGCAAGACAAACTATTGCTCATTTCTCATTCAATTTTCATCCAAGTTTAACCACATTTTAATCAATTTGTCCTTGGGAAATGTCCATTAATGCCACAAATTTTCGTATTAATACGTTTGATATTTTTTAGGTTATTGTGTTGACGGACAATCAATCAATCAATCAATATTTATTTGTACTTCACATTTGCATTTACAGAAAAAAACACACACAACACTTAACAGAAAGAAAAAAGTACAGTCATCTGAAATAACCTTTAATGGCTAGTCGAGTTGGATGACCTTAAATGAAATAATTCACTGAGACGTCAAGATAAACATGATATTATATAAACTATTATAAAGTGTAGTTAAGACCATGTAATGAAATTAGTATACGCTAATAAGAACATGCTTAAGCTTTCGTTTAAAAGAATAAATACTGAGTGCTTTAATAAATACTGAGTGACAAACACACACACACACACACACACAGATAGGAAGTGTTACTTTGGAAGTAAAACTATTAATAAATGGATCTCATTGAAATCTCATTGTAATCGATTAGCCATCCTGGACGTTTGGAGATGTTTGAATGGAAGTGCACCTTCACCATATGAAAACTATTTTAAAGGAATTGAACATAAAATGAACACTCGAAATAACAGAAAGAACATTATTTTGCCAAAGGTCAAAACTGAGAGTGGGAGAAGATCATTCATGTTCCAAGGTGGAAAACTTTGGAATACACTACCAGCAGATCAGAAAGAGGAGTGT